AAAAAAGGGTTCTACTTGGAACAAGGACAGTGGCGGCGAAATGACAGAGGTAAGGGGTGTAGCGGTTTGAATGAGAATGTCCCCCATAGGCTCCAAGTTGGTGATGCTGTTTTGGGAGGTCTTAGAAGGTGTGGCTATGCTAGAGGAAGAACATCACTGGGGGTAGGCTTCGAGAGGTCTTAAGCCTTGCTGGATCTCTCTTGCCAAGTCACTCTTGTTTCCTGTGTGTGCTTGAAGATGTTAAGAGCCTAGCTTCTGCTCCTCATCCAGCCACTTCTGTCATGCCTCCCTGCCATGATGGACTCTAGCTCCTTTGGAGCCATAAGCACAAATAAACTTTTCCTTCTATAAGTTTCCTTGGTCACGGTGTTTCTACCACGGCAACAGAAAAATACAAGGAATACAGGGGGTATGGTCAAAGGAAGTTACATGCATTATGAAAAATGCCACAGTGAAACATTTTATATAACTAATACAATAACAAAGTTAGTAATAAAACTAAATAAACAAAAGCTGAAGACCATAGAAAGTAAAAATCATTGTAGCCAGGTGTGGTGGCACACGCCTTTAATCCCAACACTCAGGAGGCAGAGGCAGGCAGAGCTCTACAAGTTCAAGGCCACCCTGGTCTACTGGGTGAGTTCCAGGCCAGCTGAGGCTACAGGGAGACCCTGTCTCAAAAGACCAAAAAAAAAAAAGAAAAGAAAGTAAAGTAAAATCATTTATAGCTTTTGATGACTTATACATAAATAAAATAATGAAAACTATATCCCACCATCTTCCAAAACAAACCACCTCACTACTAAGGAAAATAAAGTTTACCTGCAGCGTGTAGTTGATCTGCCAAGTCATATAACAACTTAAAATTCTCTCCACTCTTCAAACCCCGACCTCATTAAAAAAATAAATTAAAAAATAAATTAGGTAAATATAAATTGGGCTCCATAAAAAAACTACTATCTTATTTACATGACTGAATATTTGTATTACAACTGCCACATTAAGCACACCAATTCCTCTATAAAACCTTTTCTGACTTCTACAATGCTCTCATGCTGCTCCTAAAAAGCATTCAACACTGCTGCAATTAACAAGGTAAATACCTGTTATCTTTTCAGTTTTACTACTATAATGAAAACTTTAATCACAAGATCCAAAGCTCTCTAGGTCACTGCTGTATGTGCAGTATTTAGCAAAACTCTGTAAGTGTACTTGGCTACCATTCCTTAAATCACTAAATGGACGTTATCCTACTAGAGTCTGAACTCCTTGAGAGCAGTAACAATCTACCATTTCCTTTTTTGTTTCTCTAGGACTTAGCAATAAGTGTATCATAGAACAGATGGAATAAATCTTTTTTCTTAATTAAATCTTTTAAAAGATATTTTATTATTTTTAATGTGTATGAGTGTATTGCCTGCATGTAGGTAAGTGCACCTGTGCCGTGCAATGCCCTCAGAAAACAGAAAAGGCCGCTGGATCCCCTGGAACTGGAGTTACGGACAGTTGTTAGCTGCATGTGGGTTCTGGGATTCGAACTCAGGTCTTCTGCAAGAACAACCAGTGTTTTAACTGCTGAGCCATCTCTCCAGCCCAGAATAAATACTTCTTGAATACTTATGTAAATAATAAAGTCAAATACACCATTTTAAAACATTACATTTGCTGAGTGTGATAGCACATGCCTTTAATCCCAGAACTCAGGAGATAGAGGAAGGTGGATCTCTGTGAGGTCCAGGTCAGTCTAGTTTACACAGAGTTTTCCAGATCAGCCAGTGCTACACAGTGAGACCCTGTCTCAAAAAAAAAAAAAAAAAAAACCTAAATATTAAATTTCTTCTTTTCAACACCACTTACAATAGATGACTATTTGGAAGACCAACAATTTGCTTGATATTTAAATTAGACTTTAAAATCACAGTCAGTCATCAAGCTAAAAAGAAAATAAGTCTTTTGCCGGGGGTGGTGGCACCGCCTTTAATCCCAGCACTCGAGAGGCAGGCAGATCTGTATGAGTTCAAGGCCAGCCTGGTCTACATACTGAGTTCCAGGACAGCTGGGGCTACAGGGAGACCCTGTCTCAAAAAGACCAAAATAAAAAAAATTTTTTTAAAGTCTTTTGTCTTAAATAAGAAGTATAGCCAGGCATGGTGGCTCAGGCCTTTAAGCTCAGCACTCAGGAGGCAGAGGTAGAAGGATCTCTGTGAGCCTGGTCTATATAGTGAGTCCCAGACCAGCTGGGCCTACAGGGAGATCCTGTCTCAAATAAATAAATACATAAGGAGCATAATATAAAAAAGAAGTAAATCTCGCATACATTAAGGCTTTGAAAGCAATTGTGAAGACACTGCCCAAGTGTTATCCAGAGCCCTACACAATCCTGAAGGTCTTGGGAAGTAGAATAATGCAGGGGGTTTATACATAGCTTTGAGATTCCAACCGTATTTTCCATGATTCAGAAGCCAATGATGATACTCAACAGAAAAAAGGGAAGTCTGTGGCAAAGTTATAGGATAAAGATTTGTGCCTTACTCCCCGGGGCCAGTGACACAGACATGTGACAGAAAGCACAAACCATATAGTGTGCTCATAATTGCAATTTCCTGGGAAAATGTGACCAATACTTGCAACTTATCAACTTCTTATATTTGGAAAGAAAAAACATAATCCCTGATTCAGGCTGGAGATAGAGCTCAGTACTATAGTGCCTGCCTATCATGTGCAAGATCCTTAGCTCAATCCCGGGAACCCAAAAAATTAAAATACAATAAAAATCTGTGTTCTCTGATTGAAATCTGTACTGTAAAGTGTGTATCATCTTTAAAAATTAATATTGCACTTACCACCAGATACCACTACTTTGGCACCTGTTAATTCTGGTCTATCACTTTTTGTTAATTTCTGGTCAAGCCACTCTGATATTCCCACTGGCGAAGAACTTGGTGCTGTGTACATTGATAAATGAAATAAAACAATGATGATTCAAGTTACACGATGATGATTATTTTTAAGAGAAGCACATAAATATCCAAATCTAGGACATTTAAGTTTATTAATTGCCATGAATCACCTATGATCCCAATTTCATTTTCTTTAATTATGAAAAGACTTAAGAGGACAAGATTCTTTTGAGAAGTTGTTTACATCTTACAAATCTATCTGTAGAAAGTAGAAAAACCTTCTCTCTCTGGGGGTTCAAATAAGATGCTACATATGTTAAAACGTGACCCCACTCTACCTATTCACTATTATTACATTTTTCTACTATATTGAATCACTCAAATATTACAAGAGGAAACAGTAACAAGAGAATAAAAAAGTCCTAACATAAACATAACAGATCTTTCCCCTACTCTCTCCACCTATCAAAGTGACTATCCTTGACCAAAGATGATGTAAAACAGACATAAATCACAATTTTTTTTTTTTTTTTTGGTCTTTTTGAGACAGGGTCTCACTGTAGTCCCAGCTGACCTGAACTCACTATGTAGACCAGGCTGGCCTTCAACTCACAATGATCCGCCTGCCTCTGCCTCCCAACTGCTGGGATTAAAGGTGTGTGCCACCACTCCCGCTATTATTTCTTTTTAAAAGTTTTATTTATTAGTTTTGGGGGGCTGGAGAGATGGCTCAGTGGTAAAGAGCACTGACTGCTCTTGCAGAGGACCTGGGTTCGAGTCCCAGCACCCACATGGCGGCTACGAACCATCCTTAACTCCAGTTCCAGGGGGACTCCGAAGCCCTCTTCTGACCTCCGCGGCACAGCACGACATGGGTGCACTCACATACATACAGGCAATACACTCATACACATAAAAATAAGTATTTTTTAAAAATTTATTAGTTTTTATTTTTTGTGTATGAGTGTAGTGCCTGCTTGTATGTAAGTGCACCCATGTCGTGTAATTCCCATGAAGGTCAGAAGAGGGTGTCAAATTCCCCTGGAACTGGAGTTAGGGCCAGTTGTTAGCTGCCATGTGGGTGCTGGGAATTGAATCCAAGTCCTCTGCAAGAACAGCCAGTGCTCTTAACCACTAAGCCATCTCCCTGACAACTACTTCTTAATTTTATATCACCTTGGGATATCATTCAATTGAATTTCTAAATACTCTGTACTAGAAATTAAACTAGATGTATTCTCTTATTCTAATACAACCTTTAAACTAAAGCAAGAAGTAATAACAATCAAAAAGGCCCAAATGAATACTCACCCTTTTCTGAACTGGCACTGCCTCCACTTGTGGCTGCAGCCTCAAAAGATGTTCCTCGGACAGAAAACACCTTCACTTTCTCATCACTCTTCACTGTACATAAAGCATTTCCTGAAACACAATCTACTATTAAGAAGTAACAACAAAAAGCAACACCACCACAAGTGTTCCTTTCCAGCTCTGAATTTCTGCCTCTGCTAAGTATAGGAAAAGAGGACCGTGACAGCGAAGAACTATCAGGGAAATCTGTACAACTCTGAATGTCTTTAAAACCAAGAGCAGTGCTGACACGCCTGGAATACAGAAACTGAAGCAAGGAGCCGCAGCAGGTACACGCCTCTGAAAGGAATGGAAGCTTCTTTCTCCAAAAACAACATAGTCAGTAACCTAAATACATGAACTGCTACTGCTATGCCTTCGTAGGAATGTAACTACTATACATGCTAAAGGATGAACATGAAAAAATGTGATAGGGCATAAAGAAAAAGTTCAGAGGTACCAAGACTTTAAAAGGATTAGACTTTCTTATGGATTAGCCATCAAATAAGGAGTGACCTACACTATGACCAAATATTTCCTCTCAAATGTTACTGAAGATGAAAGGTCTGCTTTGAGAATTGACCCTTCGCATTGAAGCATACAATTTTAATCAAAAAGAACAAAGAAGTTACTGCCTTCTCCAGCCCCACTAGAGACCAGTGTGCTTAGAAATGATCAACTAAAGAAACAGTGAAATGAATTTTTTTAATGTATGTGGAAATAGAGAATAAAGACAGAATACTATTAAAAAAGAAAAAGTATTATCTTTCCAGTTGCTACTTAGAAAATATATTGGCTAGTGAATCTAATTCTTACTGACTACTAGAGGGAAGAAAATCTCACTCCACAAACCAAAAGACCAGCAGAAAAGCACTGTGCACAGGATAAACCAGAATGCCATGTCATGATCCAGTTGCAATTTTAGACTGAGATTTTTCTCAGAAACCTTTAGGAAGATCCATTTCATTGTATGGTTTGTTTTCAAAACCTATATTCTACATTTATTTATTACTCTAAACTTATATGTTGATTAATTATCATTCTTGGAACTTACCTGCATAGATGGTTCTCACAAATGTGTCAGGTGACTTAATCGCAATGATGTCAGAAATTGGGGCAACATCAAGTTTGGCTGCTATTCTGGGCAAAAGGCTCTAAAAGAAAAGGAAGCAGTGAGATACGCACATGTACACTGATGGATGAAAATATACCAACAATGAGATCTACTAAATTCCTGTAAGACAAGATGGCCTTTTGTAGAAATTTTAATTCAAATTCAAGTATTCTATACTTCACATGTATCTTTGGACAGCCTACTTCGAGCCCAGCTTTTTGGACAGTCTTTGAAATTTAGTTCCTACCAGTGATCTATGTTAAGAATTGTGTAAGCTTTACAGTAATAAGAAGTCAATTTAGCTGGATGTGGTAGCACACACCTTTAATAGCTCAGCACTCAGGCAGAGGCAGGCATATCTCTGTGAGATAGTGGCCAACCAGTTCTACAAGGAATTCTAGGCCCCCTGGGGCTACAAGGAGACCTTGTCTTAAAAAAAAAAAAAGCCAATTTAATTTGATATAATAAATTACGAGATATATTGCTTTAATAAATATCAATTGCCAAATGTAACAGTTATGGATCACTGAATTTAAACAAGAAAAAGAAAAATTTAGAAGAGTAGCAATATAAAATATTGGAAGAGATTTTACTTGTATATATTTACTAGAGGATACGAAAAAAAAAAAAAATTCAGGGGCTGGAGAAATGGCTCAGCAGTTAAGAGCACTGGCAGCTCTTAAACAGGACCCAGGTTTGGTTCCCAACAACCACATGGCAGCTAACAATTATGGTAACTCCAGTTCCAAGGGAATCTGACACCCTCTTCTGACCTCCGAGGGCATTACATGACAGGTACACTTACATACATGCAGGCAATACATTCACACACATAAAAATAATAAATAAAATATTTTTTAAAAGATAATTTTCAGCTGGGTGTGGTGGTGCATGTCTTTAGTCCCAGCACTTGGGAGGCAGAGGCAGGTGGATCCCTGTGAGTTCCAGGCCAGTCTGGCCTATACAGTGAGTTCCAGGCTAGCTGGAGCTACAGGGAGAGCCTGTCTCAAAAAAGATTAAAAAAAAATTCAAAAGATATTTCAACTTTTGTCAAACTGATGTTGCATAAAAAGATCAAGAACAGCATACTATGCACTACAATAAAAAGCAACAAGAATAAGCCTCTATGCTCTTCCTTGTTAATGTACACATTTCTGGAATAGGTATCCAACTTTGCTTTCACTAGTCAGGATCTCTAAGTAAATCACAATCTTCCCAGGTCTCACTTACCACATCTCATAATAAAGAGAAAGAGAAACTTGTCATGGCTGGTTTAAAATTCTATGCATGACTCCAGAGATCATCCTGCCTCTGCCTCAAATACTGGGATTAAAGGCTAGGATTAAAGACATGTGCTACCACACCAGGCATAGGATGTTTTTCTTATAGCAAACAATTAGCAGCAACCTAACTGTCCTTGGCTAATATAAAATGTTGCACAGTCACACAAAAGAGACTGGCATATTATGAGCTAATACTCTGAAGACATACTGTTAAGCAAAAACTACTAGTCATGGGGCTGGAGAGATGGCTCAGGGGTTAAGAGCACTGACTACTCTTTCAGAGGACCTGGGTTCAATTCCCAGCACCCACACGGTAGCTACGAACCATCCTTAACTCCAGTTCCAGGGAAATCTGAAGTCTTGACGAACCATCCAACTCCAGTTCCAGGGGAATCTGAAGCCCTCCACAGCATTGCACGACATAGGTGCACTCACATACATGCAGGCAATACACTCATACACATAAAATAAAATAAAATAAAATAAAAATAAATAATTTTTTTAAAAAAACCATAAAAGTGCAACTAAAAAAAAAACAAAAAAAAACACCCTACTAGTCACAAAACAATTAGTGAGCCAAGTATGGTGGTGTGTGCCTTTAATCAAGCCCTTGGGAGACTGAGGCAGAGGCAGGCTGCTCTCTGTGAGATCGAGGCCAGCCTGGTCTCCATGACTTCCAGGTGGGCTGAGACTAGGGAGACCCAGTCAACAAAACAAAATGAAACACAAAAATCAAAATAAAACAATTAGTGATACAATATATTTTAGAAGTAAAAATATGCATGTAAATGTACAATTTTAAATTCAATTAAAAAGAGGATTGTGAACACTTGCTACTCTTACGCAGGACCAGAGTTAAGTTCCCAGCACCCACTGTCAAAGAGCGCACAACTGCCTGAAACCCCAGCTCCAGAAGATCAGATGCTATCTTCTGTGGGCACTGTACTTACATGCAACACACACACACACACACCCTAAATAAAAATTAATAACTCTTAAAAAACATGCAGTTGCTAAGAGGTATACTCCTGAACTTGGAAGGTTAAACTGGAAATAGGAAGGTGGGACTCACTGACCCGTCTTTTTACTCTGTACTGTATTCCACTTTCCTATTATGAAGTCATTTGTACATAACTTTTTTCCTGTATAGAGGACTAAACCTAATGCATACCTTGTGCATGCTACACAAATGCTCTACCTATACTCAGCCCTTTTCCTTTTTCTCTTTCTGTGTGTGCACGTGTGCATGTGTAGGTGCACACACCCTTGTATGTACATGAGAAGTCCAAAGCAGAACACTGGGTGTCTTCCTCAATTGCCCTCCATCTTAGGGCCTTGCAATAGACTCACTGAATCAGAAGTGCATTGTTTTGACTAGACTGGTTGTTCAGAGAACTCCTGGGCATCCTCCCAATGCCGGGGTTACAGGAGTATGCAGCCATGCTCTTAAGTGGGTAGTGGAGATTTGAACTCAGGTCCTCATGCTTACAGAGTAAGCACTCTTACCTACTAAGCCAATTCCCTAGGCCTGTTTTTTATTTATTTATTTATTTATTTATTTATTTATTTATTATTTATTTATTATTTATTTATATCTATTTGGTGTTTTTTTGAGACAAGTTCTCCCTGTAGCCCCAGCTGGCCTGGAACTCACTGTGTAAACCAGGCTGGCCTGGAACTCACAGAGATCAGTTGGCCTCTGCCTCCCGAGTGCTGGGACTAAAGGCGTACACCATCACACCCAGCTTTTATTTTTAATTTTTAAAAAAATATTTTTTCTTATGTGTATGAGTAAATTGCCTATACATGTATAGAGGTTCACCCATGTCATGCAGTGCCCATGGAGGTTAGAAGAGGGCATCAGATTCCTCTGGAACTGGAGCTACAGATGGGTGTTAGCCACCATGAGGGTGCTGGGAATCAAACCAGAGGTCCTCTGCAGGAGCAGTCAATGCTCTTAACCACTGAGCCATCTCTCTAGCCCCTTTTTTATGTTAAGACAAGAGCTTACTAAGTTGCCTAGGCAAGCTCAGAACTTGCAATTTTACCATCTCCACCTCCCAGGTAACTGAGATTATAGTGTGAATGCCCGTGTCCGGCTTTTGTTTGTTTTAAGTAAAAATAAAAACTAAAACCTAACTCACACGGTCACAAGCATGCTAGGCCAACACTCTACCTCTGAGCCCTAGTCCCTTCACCCCTCCCTTCATGTTAACTTCATATACACACTACTCATCTGGGCAGGTTTCTTGTAACCATCTACTTCACAAAATGTACAATCACCTGGGAGGGAGTCTCAGGGAGGGACTGCCTAGATCAGGTAGGACTGTGTCCATGCCTGTGAGGGATTTTTCTTGATTACAATAATTGATCTGGGAAGACCTAGCCTGCTATGGGTGGCACCATTCTCTGGGTTTGGGTCCGTGACCATATAAGTGTAGAGAGGGGACTGAACACAAGTAAGCAAGCATGTATACACTGCCTGCTTTGAACTGTAGATGTGACTGGCTGCTTCAAGTTTCTGCACTGATTGCACCACAATGATTGGCTGTAACTTGGAACTGTAAACCACAATAAACCCTTTCTCCCTTGAAGTTGCTTTTATCAGGGTATTTTAATCACAGCAACAGAAATGACACTGGAACACTGTCTCACAGCACATTCTTTAGACATATCACAATGCGCATGATCAGATTACAGCTATCTTTTCCCTAAGGATATAAGGATACCCCAACCATAACAGTCCTCCCCAAATCCCCAGAGTAGATAGAATCAGCCTTTCTATATATCCATCAGCTATCCAAGTAAATCATTGCTTAAGAACTAAATACAATATCTACACACACACACACACACACACACACACACACACACACACAATTCAATTTAACAGTAGTTTTATCAAGGTCAAATTTGAAAACCTGAAAGTGGCAGGTTTAATAAATTTTGACAAAAATCCTGAAAGAGCAGTATGTCTGTGACAAAATTTGAAAATCTAGAAATGGCATTTGTAACAGAATTTTTTATTAAAATCCTGAAAGAATAAATTTTAGCAAAATTATTCCCATTAGCATGGGTACATCAGGACTGGCTGTCTAAACAAAGTCTGTTACATTTTTTTGTCCAATGAAATCTATCCCTTTCAAGTAGGGAGGTCAGATTCCACACTTTCTTCTCACCTTCCCAAAGGCAGACGCTCCAGCACAGATGTGTGTGTAACTGAACTGCTTCTGAGTGTCCAAAATCAACGGTGTCAGTTCCTCTGAGAATTAAACACATTTGGTAAAACACATTTCATACTATTTTCACATTCATATATTCAAGCACAACACACACTACATTTTTGCACTGGAAAACCTCACCTGGAAGGAGGCCTTTGTATGCTTCATGCTGAGCCACCAGAACTTTTGATACGCCTGCTACTTTACAGAGGTCTTGTACCACCTGTGATTAAAAGGTACGTTTCTAATTACCCATCTATGAGAAACAATGAGCTGTACATTTTAACCAAGCACAAAATCTTAATGGCCAAATATAAAAATTATTCTTTATGCTTTTGTTTTTAGAATGTCTTGCTATATACAGCTCAGTTTGGTCTCAAAGTGCATCAATTCTGACTCAGACTCCTGAATGCTATGATTATAGGCATGTGGTACCAGGCCAAATCTAAAAATCATTCTTATGAGCAAAAAAATAATAGACAATAAAAAATATAACACAAATGATAAATGCTAATACTTTTTAAAATATATTATTTATTATTTTTATATTATATGTATGACTATTGCCTGCATGTATGTAAGTGTACCCATGTTGTACAATATCCACAGAGGTCAGAAGAGGGCATTGGATCCCCTGAAACTGGAGTTACAAATGGTTGTGAGCTGCCATGTGGGTGCATGGAATCGAACCTGGGTCCTCTACAAAAGCAGTCAGTATTCTTAACCATTGAGTCATTGCTCCAATTCCCAAGAATACTTTTTAAAAATAATAAAAATGTTACTTTCTCTTCCCCCTTGTTTTGTTCCCCTCCCCCCCAGGATCTTGATACACAGTCTTGCCTATCCTAGTACTCATTAAGTAGCCCAGGTTGGTCTTTAAGCTTTAGGCACTCCTCTCTTAGCCTCCAGAGTGCTATGATTACAAACATGTTTGACCATACTTGGCTTTATTGTTTAATAAAAAAAATCTTAAGCCAACTAATTTTACTATGGATTAACCTAACAAAGTCCCACTACAAAAGTGTCAATAAACATTTTGCCTTAGAAAACAAAAGTACTAAATGATAAACCACAATCAACACAGCGTTTTACTTAAATTTAGGTGTAAACTATGCCTTTTGCATTGACTTTTTGGTTGATACTAATTTAAGTGCATTATTTTAGAAAGGTGAAAGTGAAAACTGGGTATGGTACCCAGCACTTGGAGGCTAAGGCAGTTGGATCAGAAGTTCTATGCCAGTGTGGGGTACGCAGTGCAATCTACTCTCAAAAATCCAAAGGGGAAAAAGAAAAGGAAGGGAGGGCAAAAATGAGATTTTCTTTCTCTCTCTCAATAATAACACAGCCAACTGAAAAAAAAAAAACAACTTTTTTTGACTTAGGACTTACTAGGGGTAAAGACCACCTTAAACATACTACTTTAATATTTACTGTACTTTATTTGACAATAATAATTTTTGCTAATACTAAAATTAATAACTTTGAACAGTAGAAAAATCTTAATTACTGCCCATTGTCAACCACGGAGTTTCTGCCCATACACATATATTTATCTACGACAAAGCAAAATATTTTATTGTTCAACTCTTCATTTTTCCTGTTTGGAATCATGATGGGGGTTCTGAGAATGCTTCTGACTACTCAGATTTTCTGTATACAGAAGGCAATTCGAAATCCCCTGTTTAAGTAATACAACAGGAATGGTTTCTGCCTAGCAGAATCACATCTTCCATACTACTGTCTTCTAATTCACTGGTGAATGGGCATTAGTGCTCCTGTCCTCCTCCATGGACTGTAAGGTTCAACAATGTTCATTGAAGGGAGGATGCAGTGAAAGTTCTCTGCTGAGTCAGGTGCTGACTAGTACACTCACGCTCTCTTATACACAGTCATCTGTATTTAGCTTCTCCAACTTAAAGAAAACTTCCAATTAAGAAACCCAGTTAATTGCACTTAAACACATGCAGGCAATACACTAATAAACATAAAATTAAAAAAAGAAAGAAACCCAGTTGAATGAAGAGGGAGGGGCTCATGAGCCCCCAGCCCTGACTGAGGAGTTGTTTTCAGTAAATGGGAGCCTGAAGAGGGACAGGTTTTTTCTTTAAGGATGTGGCTCCTGTAGGTCAACCAGTAGATGGCCCCACATGTAGGAGGATGAGATCAGCACAAATTGGACTCAGTGAGTTATTTTAAAAGAAACATGAAGTTGAGAAGGAGTGAGGAGATGGATCTGGGAGGAGCTAGGGGGTAGAATGGTGCAGTGAAGATGATCAAAACACACTGCATGAAATGCTCAAAGAATTAATAAAAATAATATATATTTTTAAAAAACATTCTTCAAAAGACAGAATAAGCAGCATCCAGTGCCTCTACCCACAGTACACAGACAGGCAAAAAATCCTCAGGGATTCTATTTTCCCATTGAAACGATCTTGTATTGGCAAAAATGTCAAGTCCTATCTTCTGTTTATGATTTATAGCTAAAGAAAACAACAGAAAAACTGAAATCTGCCTATATTATTAACAGATATTATTCTTGAAAATAAGAACATGACAAGATTCTAACTGGTTAAATATCAGGTACTTTCAGAATAATATTACTAATTAGTTAAAATCATAACAAAACATATAAATTCAACATTTGTACATATCTGAAAGCTGAGCAAGTAAAAATATAGTTTAATCATATCATCACACATTGTGGTTAATATGAACTATATGATTCAGTAACTCTTAACAGGAAATTAAATAAATCTTACATAACCCTCAACTTGCTAGCATAGTCTCTTTTTGTGTCTTAAGAGTACCTTTTTTTTTTTTTTGGTCTTTTTGAGACAGGGTCTCCCTGTAGCCCCAGCTGTCCTGGAACTCATGTAGACCAGGCTGGCCTTGAACTCACAGAGATCCGCCTGCCTCTGCCTCCCAAGTGCAGGGACTACAGGTGTGCGCAACCATGCCCGACTAAGAGTACCTTTTTTACTGAACTTTTACAAATTTCATACATTCTATTTTGAACATATTTAGATCCCCTCCTCTATCTGAACTCCTTTAATACCTCCTGCCTGATTTCATGTACTCTATTAGATCAATAGATAGAGACATTAAGGCCTATGGAGTCAAATTTGTGCCCCCAAATGCCCTTGGATTCAGTCCATCCACTGGGGTCTGGGCAATCTATCCAGCATCACACCCTTAAAACAAAACTTATTCCCCTCTCCTTCAACAGCTATCAGTTACCAATAGTTCCTCAGCTAGGATTGGGTTTTTTTTACCAACTTCCCTACATCTATGCTTGTCCATGCTGTCACCACTGCTGTGAACCAATAGGAATAATGCCCAGCTCTCTGGCTCTTAACAAGCTTTAGAATATAGCCTTTAAAATCCAATTTCATGCAAGGAATTAGAAGCGGCACTCGTATTCTGAACGTGTATTACCACATGTTCAACATCAATAATTTAGTAAAAGATAAAATCTTCTGAAAAGAAATATTCCCTATTTAGTTCTCTGTGAGATTCAAGCTCCAAACCATACACTTGGCACTCCTACATGGAGTGAGAGGCAACTGGCAGCTCAAGTTTTGTGAGTATATCTAAAGCACCTGTCTCCACAGAAGCCCACAGGCACAGACACTGCAAATTGTATTACATAATAAACTTTCCCAGGGGGTTGTTTCCAGAGCTGTCATTTAACAACCATGACAAAACATCTTTTACTACTAGCTGTAATTTGCAAAGAACAGGACTTATATATGAATTCTTTAATCAACTAAAAATTAACATCCCTGATATTTTACCCAGATTTACCACTTTCAGGAATTAGAAGGAATTAACAAGTATATTCATCAATACAAAAAGGGATCAGCTATTAACTTCTAAAGGAACTCAAATATTGCCATTCTACTTGGTACCTGATGGCACAGGATGGTGCCAGTGAAATTAAATCACACATTCTACCTCATTTTGAAAGATTAAAGTACTTAGTGAGCAAACCTTTAGTTCCTTTTTCACACAGTAATGGTGTGACACTGGCCATTTAATGAGGATTAGAGTCCAGTTTGGGTTATGGTCCACGGCATAATTCTCTGTTGCCATCTCTCCGTCTCTTGATGGAGATTATATTTGCTGTGGCTGAGCTTAAAAATTTCTCACCTTGTCACATTTGGTTCCAGCTACTAAGCAGGACACTTCACCTCCAAGACGTTTGGCTGCAGTAATGGTATTTAGAGTAATGGGTGCTAGAGAATCATTTGCATGCTCAGCTATTACCAAAGTACTCTGAAATCGAAGCAATGAAGCCTAAAAAGAGAAAAGAGAAGGAATATAGTTTTTAAAAAGCCCAATTGTTAAGCGTAAGTGCTTTAAAGAAAAGTATTTTGTATACAATGCTCCCTTTTATATTTATAAAACTTTTTCGGGTAGTGTCTACCTTTATAATATTAATATTCTTACCTCATGAAAACTTGAATATGCAAGTTTGTTTCCTACAGTTAGAAAAAATATATCAAAACAATTTTCCCACTATGTCTAATAAATAACTGCTATACATTTAAACTTAAATTCTTAAACACAATATATTAACTATCAAGCCAAGAACTGGTTAGGTTCTACTACCAATTATATTCAGTTACACAATGGACTCTCACTGGAGAACACTGTATTAAGATATTAGTATACTCAGAAATCATGGGTTTGAACTAAAGTTGATTCCCAATGATTTGGGTAAGAAAAATCATTATCAAAATAACTGACAATGGAAACCTGTTTTTGAAAGATGACATAAGAGGCCAGAAAGATGGCTCAGCGGGCAAAGGGACTTGCCCTCAAGCCTGAGGTCCTGAGTTGCACCCTTATGACTCACATGGAAGAAGAAAACTGACTCCTACAAGTTGCCCTCTGACCTCCATATATGCACTGTGGCATGTGCGTGTCCCCCATCCCCGCCACACACACAATAAATAAAATGTAATTTTAAAAAGATTTTTAAGATGACACTAAACAGCAGTCTTGCTGGGGTTTCAACTGTTCAAATAAGCTTTGGAATTAAAGGGGGAAAATAAAGCCCGACACATACCCAGCCCTATCTAGTTCAGACTATCAAACCATCGCCAAAAAAAAATAGTTCATGGTCACCTGGAAACTTTTTAAACACCAAGAACACACACAAAAAAAAAATCAATGAGAATGTTCCATGTTCTCAAAGATGTCATGGGAATTAAGGCTTGTACACGTATAAGCAATTGTAAGATAGTTTTTGAAATAATGAAGAGAAGCAAATGTTGAGCAGAAGAAAAAGAGGAAGCACTGGTGCTACTAGCATGTGAAAAGGGCACTAGACACGAGGAAGTAAAGACTGGAACTATCTTTGTGGAAATGGCCATGAGAAAAAAGCACTTAGGATAAAATGGCATGGCTGTGCAGCTTCATTTAGGAAAAATCTTCAGCTCTAGAACTGGACGTAAAGCACTGCACAGATTGCTTATCCCTGAGTAGGATGCCTATAATAAACTTCTGCTTCCTAAGGCCCAGAGATCATTATGGAAGGTGGGATGGGAAGATTTCAAGAGCCAGAGCTGGTGGATGACCACAAGGAAACAGTTTTCAGACACCTAGTCAGTTACACATATGAACTCACAGCAATGGAGACAGTATGCGCAAGTCCCACGTTAAGCTCAAGCAACATAAAATCCCAGCACAGATGTAGGAAGTGGGTAAGAAACCTTAACCCTACCTGAGGAACTACTAGCAACCAATGGCTGCTGGAAGGGGGAGAGTCAGTCTCATTTAAGGGTAAAGTCCTTGGTAGGTTGGCCAGGTTCCAGTGGATGAACCCACATCAAAGGGCATTTGGGGACACAAACCTGACTCCATAGGTTTTAATGTGTGTGCGTGTGTGTCTGTCTGTCTGTCTGTGTGTACAGAGTACACAAATTTGGTGGAGGATAAATAAGAGGGGGAAGATGCAGATATGAGAAAGGATCTAAATATGATCAAAATATACTGTATGACAGTCACCGAAATGCAATTAAATTTTAAAAGAGAGAGAAAACACTGCACAAAATTTACCCAGAGTTAGAAAAGAAGGTATGAATGAGGAAAGCCAGGAATGAGACAATAATGTTGGTTACACAATTCGTTATCAATACCGATCATCGTTATTGATCTCTGGGTTATTTTTTAGGTTTAATTATTATAAGCAAAAAAAGTAGACAAGAATTCCTTCTAGCGAAATGGTCTTCCCTCTGACTGCAACCGGGGCAGTCTCCATAAGCCAGATTTGGTCCTATTCTCAACAAAACAGGTACCTCCTGGCCCTAAATCAGCACTTCATTCCCAACCTTCTCTCTATCTTCTTAAATTCTCTCTACATGATGTACCCAAGCCCACAGACAGATATGGATACATACCACCACCATCCCTCCACCACCACCACAACCTTCACCACCTTCTCCACCATTACTACTACCACCTCTACCACCTCCTCCTCCACCAGATACCCTAGGGCTAGCCACTGTCCAGAGGTAGAAAATTTTTGCAGGCTGCACCACTCTGAGGATTAGAGAGGAAGAAGATACCACCACAGCAAACTATGCCAGAGAAAACAACCATGGCACCGCACCTTAAGATTCTTGGACTGGGGAAATGGCTCAGCAGTGAAAGGTGCTTGCTACACAAGTCTAGCCACCTGAGTTTGGTCCCTGGAACCCATGTAAAGGCAGAAAGAGAGAACAAATTCCACTAATTGTCCTCTGAACTCTACACACACCATGGCATGCCCCCAACAATACATTTTCATTTAATTTTTATTTTATGTGTATGAGTGTATTGCCTGCATGTATGTAAGTGCACCCATGTGATGCAATGCCCATGGAGGTCAAAAGAAGGGTTGGATCCCTGGAACTGGAGTTACAGATGGTTGTTAAGGCATCATGTGGGTGCTGGGAATCAAACCTGGGTCCTATGCAAGACCAGCCAGTGCTCTTAACCCCTGAGCCATCTCTCCAGCCTCTAATAATACATTTTTAAATATTTCTTTCTTATAACAAACTACTAAAAATGTCAGATCAAGAAGTGGGCACATTTTCAGAGTTTTGTTATTGGCCTTTTTTTTTTTCTTTGTTTTGAGTTAAAAAAAATGTATGTGTATAGTGTTCTCAAAGGAAGAAATAAAGATGGCTAAGAAACATCTCAAAGTGTTCAAACATCTTTAGTAATTTGGGAAATGCAAAGTAAAACCATGCTAAGGTATCACCCCACCCCAATCAGACTGGCTAAGATCAAGAGAACAAATGATACCAAATGCTGGCGAGATGTGGAGAAAGGGGAACACTCATTCACTGCTGATGGGATTGCAAACTCGTGCAACCCCTATGGAAAACAGTGCGGAGAACTCTTAAAACACTAAAAATGAACCCCCCCATATGACCTGATTATACCACTCCTTGGCATATGCCCAAAGGATTCATCCTATTGTAGAGATACTTGTACAACCATGTTTGTTGCTGCTCTTTTCACAATAGCTAAGGGATGGAAGCAACTGAGCAGACCGCCAAAGAGTGCCAAATTCTGGTCTCCCTCTGGCCTCCCTCTGGCAGAGGGCCTGAGAACACAGGGGACTGCCTGAGAGCCCCAGATCTCTCCTCCATGTGGTGGTGAGCTTCCCCTAATTGCGCCATACCCATCTCCCTACCTGGGATGTCATGAGGCCCCTCTCAAGGCCCCAGGGCAGATCTGGCTTTGGTAGGCTAAGGCTGAGATCCTAGCAGACAGCCTGAGAGGGTGAGTTTCAATCTCCATCTCCATCAGTGTAGCAGCTCTGATCTCAAGAGACCATGTAGTTCTGGCCTCCCTCTGGCATAGGGGCTGAAAACCACAGGGGACTGCCACCTGTATCCTGCCTCCATGAAGTGAAGGAAGCCTGAGTGTACCTGATTGGAACCTGAACTGGGCTTCTGTGGCTACTCCTGAATACCTGATCTGAAGCCATCAGTTCCCTCCAAATTAAACCTGAAAGAACCTGAACCTTGTACCAACCAGCTTTACATAACCAATAAAGAAAGGATCTAGGCACCCCTGATAATACAAACAGAAGCAAACTTCAACTTAATTCTCTTATCAGAATCATAAACAACAAAATAAATTCACATGCCAAAATCACAATAAGAGAATAATGAAATGGAAAGCCAAAACACTATGTCCCCATCAAACTCCACCAATCCTGTAGAACAGTTCTACAAGGGGAACCCCTAGTGATAACCCATGACACCAAATTTAAAAGAAAACAATCACAAACATGATCAAGGAGTTCAATGAAGTTAAAGAACACATGAACAAGCAAATCAAAGAGCTAAAAGAAGATAGGGATAAACTTCTGAACGAATTCACAAAAGAGATGGAAACATTGAAGAAAACTCAGGCAGAAATGAAGAAGGAAGTGCAAAACTCAATAAGCCAACTTGAAACAACAGGGGAAAGCATCACTACTAGAATCAATGAAATGGAAAAGAGAATATCAACACTGGAGGAAAAAGTTGAAGAATTGGACCACTCAAGCAAAGAGTATGAAAAAATTTTAAAAACACAGGAATGGAATATGTAAGAGATGTGGGACACCATGAAAAGACCAAATCTATGGATCATAGGAATAGAGGAAGGAGAACAATTTCAGATTAATGGTGTTGACCAGATCTTAAACAGGATTGTAAAAAAAGAGAATTTCCCAAAATTAAGGAAAGACATCCCCATACAAATACAGGAAGCACACAGAACACCAAATAGGCAGGATCAGAAAAGAAACTCCCCACGACATATCATAGTAAAAACACTAAATGTACAGAACAAAGAGAGACCACTCATTCACTGCTGGTGGGATTGCAAACTCATGCAACCTCTATGGAAAACAGTGTGGAGAACTCTTAAAAAACTAAAAATGAACCTACCATATGACCTGGTTATACCACTCCTTGGCATATACCCAAAGGACTCATCCTACTGTAGAGTCACTTGTATAACCATGTTTGTTGCTGCGCTTTTCACAATAGCTAAGAGATGGAAGCAACCTAAGTGTCCCTCAACTAACTGACAGGTGGTTAACAAAGATGTAGTATATTTACACAGTGGAGTCGTATTCAGCAGTAAAGAAAGACGAGGTAATGAAATTTGCAGGTAAATGGATGGATCTAGAAACTGTTACACTAAGTGAAGTAACACAGACTCAGAAAAACAAATGACATATGTTCTCCCTCATATGTGGATCCTAGTACCAAATCCTTTTAAATTCCAGGTCCTTTTAATAAGAT